TATTGAAACTTTTTCTTACATATAAAGGGACGTTCAAAGAAGAAAATTTGACAGTGTAGATTTAATTTGAATGTATACATATGTATATGTTTAGATAGTAGTCGCAAGGAAAGGATTCGGTCAAAACGGTGGGACGCATAGCTCATCGAATTTTTATTCGATTCACTTCAACGCTTAAATTTGAAGGTAATTAAGTTCATATGCTTATGAACCTCGACTCTTAATGAATTATTATTATTATAGCATAAAGTTATTGCGAAATAACGGCCGACATGTCTCGTTCATTTTCATGTTTTTTACCGCCATTTTTGCAATTAATAATTTTTGTTTGCAAATTGAAGTTGATACGCATTTTACGTGCCTATTAAAGAAAAAAATTTTATATTAATATTATATTTATAATTTATATTAATTAATAGACTACTACCCAAGTATAAACATATATATACATTCAAATTAAATCTACACTGTCAAATTTTCTTCTTTGAACGTCCCTTTATATGTAAGAAAAAGTTTCAATAACAAAAATTAATTATATCTGGAAATTATACGCATTAGAAAAATACATTATATTCAAATTAAATCTACACTGTCACATTTTCTTCTTTGAACGTCCCTTTATATGTAAGAAAAAGTTTCAATAACAAAAATTAATTATATCTGAAAATTATATGCATTAGAAAAATACATTAGCTGGACCAGACTCCCCCCTTAAGCATCTTTTCAAATATTCCGCTCTACGTCCGGCAATGAAATAAAAAACTTGGCTTACCAAAGAAGACAACGCTTGTCTTTTAGCATACCACGACAACAACGATCGATCCGCCTTTGGAAGATGCTACTCTTGCAAGGAACGATTTTGCTGCTCGAGTTGTTCGCGCCTGACTGGCGCAACGCTTCTCTACTTAATTTTTAGCTGGCAACGGGCGGGAGATTCGGGGTGTTTTTCTGCGCCGTTTTGTTTGCTTCGAGTAAATCGAGGGAACGTTTGCATCGCAATTTCGTGCCATCTGCGTCAACTGCCTGACAGACCATTAAGTCGAGGATCTCTTCAGAAGTTGGACGATTGCGCAGGAACGGCCACGTTTTTCTGATTCCTCCCCTAATTTGTCACGGTTACCTATTGCTGACTCTCGACTGCGTACACGATTCACGAGTGGCCATAGCTAAATGGCATTTTATTTCTGCCTTCCATGACTAGGGACGTCGAGATGTTCTTGGAACTTGTTACGTCTTCTTTTCTGACAGGCCTCACAATTTTTTAATAATTATTTTCGATGGTCTTGCCGTATAAGAAATCTCCTATAACGTTAAAACGACGAATGTTATTTGCGATTGGGCAAATTGTTCCTCTTTATCTGGCTATGGGTTCTGACTCACAGGCGCCCCTAGTTTAATACAATTAAAGGTCTATTTACGCATATCCGTAACGTGTCAGTTCCGTATCCGTACCGTATCAATAACGTCACGGACCGGTGTCGGACGTGTGTGAACGTGCCCATTCAAAAACAACAGAAGAATAGTTAAAATCACTGACACTGATGGAACATTACGGAACTAAACGGATACGGAACTGACACGTTACGGATATGTGTAAATAGACCTTAAGGGGGTCCACCTGTGTAACGTTTAATTTTCAAGGCAATTTTCAAGAATTCTTTGTAGGAAAAGTACTAGTGCGATTATGATAATTTTTTTTTTTTTATTTGGTAGATCGACGCTTTAACATTAATTTTTGATTTTATGTGGATATTCCTAGACGACGCTTTAACGAGGCCACTTAAAAGTAGAAGAGTCGTTCGGCCAGCAGGATTTGACCGTACTTGATCATCTGAAAGAAAAAAGTAAAATATCACCTTCTTTATAATTACATTTTGAAAGTACTGGCGACAAGATATTCACAAAATTTTGAAAATTTTTAATAGGGTGGCGTATAAACTAAAAAATGATATTTTAAGGTATCTTTTCCCCTATCTAATGGCTAATAGACGTTGGAAAAAAGTTTTTTTTAACACGAATCTCGCCGCCAGTATCACCAATTACGTTTGAAAATTGTAGAAAAAAATTGTCATTTCCAGAAACGTGGTTTCGAGAAAAACGCGTTGAAGGTTTCAAGACGTAAAAAACGTTTAATTAAAAACATTCACGTTTAATGTTAAGCCGTCGATCTACCAAATAAAAAAAAAAAAAAAAAATTATCATAATTCCACTAGTACTTTTTCTACAAAAAATTCTTGAAAATTGCCTTGAAAATGAAACGTTACACAGGTGAAGGGCCCCTTAATATCTAAAATAGAAACATCGTGCTCCGAGTTCGTACTCCAGCTGTATTTCGTTTCATTTCCCCGTAACGTACAGTGTCATGTCCGTCTCCCTTTCCACGGTGTACGTTTTAATACATAAATATGCTACCTACGCGATCTTCCAGACGCCAGATGGCTAGATATAACATTGGATCGCAGATTGGAGGGAGAATTGTCTCCGGACCGATACGACTGGGGCTGTCGTTGAGAGTTCCAGCTGAAGTTCACCGAACCGACACGACCTCGCGATTTTCTGTCGTTCGGAAACTTTGAATTTAAACAGTTCTGGTAACAAATTTTCTGTGGCTGATAAGAAAAAGACTCGTAAAGAAGCGTTTCATTGGTAATCGGAATAATCGAAATTTCTGTCTTAAACTTTCGGGTTACGAAGAATTTCGACTTCTAATCTTGACAGTATCGACTGTATGTCCCACTAGGGTCGAAAGGGTTAACCATTTGCGCTCGAGGCATTTTTCTGTAGAATCAAATCCAGTCCATTTTTATAACAAATTTCTGTGAAACCAAAAACTCTACTTCGGAGAAGAACATCTACGAACGTTCATGACTCGATGTATTATTATTTCGATTAATAATTAGTTGTATTTCGATGTAAGTGAATTTTAAATTGTACGTTCAAAAAAATCACTTTTAAATTACATATGTCGCCCTAGAGGCGCCACCCGAGTGTAAAGGGTTAAATATTACTAAATATATATAATTTGTTCGTAGTTTTAATCTTTAACGCACGTTTTCTTAAATATTCACTGTTCCCCCTGAGAAAAGAATAATTTTTACTTAAACCCTTTGTACTAACATTAAAGGAACGCTATTCGCTGTTCCATTCCAATGGCACTTGAGAGACCAACAATTTCTCGAAGACGTCGTCATCCCCAAGGAAAATAATGTCCACGCTACACAGATTAAAACTGTACCCGTTCCCTCTTCTCTGTATACTTTATTTGCGACGAGAAAGATTCACTACGTACACAAGTGTTTCTATAGTTACAGCAAAGGAACTCTTCGTAATTTCTTATATACTTGTTACGTAAATGCTTGATTATATTTTCATTCCAGTTGCGTTTGTATAGCAAAGAACCCCTTGGTGTTTTAATATATGTTTCCGTATATACCTTTAATTTTTCATGTACTAGTACATTACAGTTTTAATCTGTGTAGCGTGGACATTATTTTCCTTGGGGATGACGACGTCTTCGAGAAATTGTTGGTCTCACAAGTAGTACATACACAATATTTGATGTCTAATGTTATATTATTGAATTACGTACGATTCAATTTGCTCCGTTATGGTTATAAGATTAAAATCTAAGAAATTATGTGGTCTATTCATGTAAACATCGCTACGCGAAATGACCGAGTACACGTCACGGAAGAAACTTTTGGGACAACCTAATCAAATATAAAATGTTGTGCATGTGTTACTTGCTAATAAAACGAAAGAAACTTTTAGGACAACCTAATACAATTATTCCCTGTAAGCTGATATTTTTTTTAAATTCACACCTCTCACGTCTCCTAGAATTTCCAGCAAAAATGGTCCCGCAGTCGAAGGATAAAACGCTGGAACCCTTTCTCTTTCGATCGATTCCGAGCCCAGTGTTCTTTGGGTGGCTGCACTGGAAGAAATTTCAGCGAAATCTCGTCGAATCGTACGTCGATGCCCGTCGAGAAAGACGAGCCTCGGAACTCGAAATATCGCAGACTTTTCCATCCAGGCTGGATAGTAACACGACGGGAGCACGGAAACAGGCAATCATACTTTGTTTACCCCGATCCTTATTTACTCGCACCCCTCAGCGTCTTCTCAGTCGATCCAGTCCCGTCGCGTTCGATCAAAACTTTCTGCACGATTACCCTTCGGTTCTCGTTGGGGACCTCATCGTCGGAGATTCGGATCGAACGATCGCGAAGATCGTATCTCGACTGGGAGACACCCTAAATCGCGACGAGCGTTTCGCGGAGGATTCCATTCGACGGGGGGG